TATCCACACAGTAGAAACCACCCTCACAGTCTGAGAAGACTGAAGTTGAAAGCTGTATAGTAACCATAAAACTATTTGGTACAACCCCCAGATTTTGATTTCCTAGCAATGTACCATAAACTATGTCATGTTAAATTTGATGGCATAAATGGGCCCAGAGAGTCAAAGGTGTTAACATGAGCCTGTCCCTGTCCAACACTAACCAGTTAAATATGGTTTGAGTTTTGAGTACAGAGACTTTGGCCCCCTAGCATTTAAAATATTTTTAAAAAATATTAAAGGGGGGGAAAAAAAGGAATAACTAAATTAAATGATCTCTAACCCCCCTGCAGGATCAAACCATAAAGAGTTCAGTTCGGTGCTATTCCTTATCTTTAAACTACTAATTAGGAACACATAAATCAGTTACAGAGGAGACTTGTGGGGGTGGCAGCCATGATGGTGAAACTTGCTTCTTTCAGTCCAGCTATCCCAGGTGTTTTGATCCTCCCTTCCCAAAGTTTCTTTTTTAAGGATGGCAAAAAGGGCTGGTGGGTAGTATAGGCCACCCTCTCATTATTTTGTCCACCAATTAGGCCTAATTTCTGACACTCCAATTTTGGTCCAATAATTTCCCATTCCATTCTCCTTTGTTTACCACTCACAATCTTGACATAGTCCTGGATGAGACCTTTGTTTGGACTAATTCATTCTGTATTTAATTTTTGCTGACTTTTAAAAGCCATTTTATGTAACAGGCAGAGTTGGACTTTTGTTACTTTGTACAATTTAGAGAATAGGCCTCTGCACAACAATTATCAGATAGTGCTTTGGGGCATTGGCTCTCCAGCAACACGCTGCAAACCACCAGATAATGCCTCTCTGCAAAGGAAAGCCACTTCAGAAACTTCAAACAAACCTTTGGTACCCCGTTAGTGGTACCCCATCAACTCCGCAGCCTTGAGCAAGAGTTTAAGCTGCCAGTTAGAGGCCAGAGCACTGTCTCATATCTAGGCCAACAACAGAACTATGTTCTGCTTTGCCAGCTCCCAGTAAGAGCTCTATACAGAAAGCATAGCTAACAAGTTTAAAATACCATCTGCTAGTTCCCACCTAAAGCTTTAAAATACCATAAGGTTGAATGTTTGTACTATGCAGATAACGTTCCAGAAGAATCACCCGGTTACTCTCACCATAAGAAGAACTAAAAATGGAGAATAATACTAAGAGAAAAAAAATCACTGCTTAACACACGTGGTACACAGCTTGCAATTTGTTAACCTGTTATTCGCCCTTTCAATGAACAAACCAGACTCCAGTTACCACAGACACTCAAACTTCCATATTCTCCAGTTTTCAGCCAGACTTCTTTCTATTTCTGAGTTGTTAACTTTTCTTGACCACAGGATTCTAGCTTATTCAGCCGAGTTAGTGTTTCTGTGACACCTCCGATCATGCTTTGGAAACGATACAAACCAAACTTCACTGACTGCCACTCTTCTTACTCAGAAATATTAATTAAAAATCCTTTTGCTACTGAGATCCTAAGTGCCTTCACAGAGAAACAAGCTTTAGAATTAATAATGGCTTTCTGGCTCAGAATCTGTTGATAGTACCTTTCCAGATGATGCAGTCATCCTGGGTACTGTTTCATTAAGACACAGGAGTTTCTTATACGGGAACCATAAATAGAACACTAAGCTACATAACACATTTTACAAGCATTTTTATTTAAAAAGTAATAACCTCCAAAATGTGGCCCCTCTGGATGAGTCAGGAAAATAAAAACATAAAAGTAGCTAAACAAATCTGTGCTTTAATAAATCCACAACAGATGGCTCCTATATTAGCAACAATGTAGCCATTTACAGGCTTGTTATCCACTCTATATCCTGCCCAAAGGCATTTATAATCTAAAACTGCTTGCAAGGAAATAAATGCCCAATCCACCCACCTACCATTAGTTTCCACTCTTGCCATCAAAACACTCTTCAGTCAATCTTGTATTATTAGCCACTGGGGCTGTAAAGATGATGTTTTAGGCCCTATTTTGTTTTGGAAGAAACCCTTTTAGAACGATGCAGGGTGCGAGGAGGGGTGAGCCACTATCTGCCAGTTGATTGTTTGGGACCCAATTCCGGAAAGCACTTAAATACATGCTTATGTTCAATTGACGTTGAACAGTCATGGAGAACAGTTACTGAATAGCACAGGAGTCAAATTTCAGTTAAAGCTCTCATGAGTGGATGACATTGTGATCTGGAGTCAGGGACATTTCTTTTCTCTTTGATTTCAGCAACGATCCTAATATGCAATTTGCTATAGTGAACAATACTGCACAGTAGCACTGACTGACTTAAGGGCTTGTGGACATGCAAACGGAAACCAGTGTGTAATTTTTTCTTGTTAATGTGTGTCTTGTAGCTTCTGGGAGTCTTAATATTCTCCCTTAATGGCAGTCTTATTGTTGCTTTTATTCACATTTCAGTCTAAAAAGATAACGCTTCTCAGTTTTAATTCCAATATAAAAGACATATACAGTATTTGAAGACTAGTGGAGACAGTTTTAGCTGCTTTCCTCTCATCCAGTGTCAATGTTGTTGTTAACATAAGAATCTATATTTTATAACATGAATTCAGCTAATGATTACACATAATGCACCATGGCCAATGATGATAAATGCAAAATAATGCACATTGGAAAACGTAATTCCAACTAGACATATAAAATGATGTGGTCTAAATTAGCTGTTACCATTCAAGAAAGAGATCTGGCAGTCACTGTGGATAGTTCTCTGAAAACATCCACTCAATGTGCAGCAGAAGTCAGAAAAGCTAACAAAACGTTGGGAATCATTAGGAAAGAAATAGATAAGATAGAAAATATCATATTGCCTCTATATAAATTCATGGTACGCCCTCACCTTGAATACTCTGTGTAGATCTAGTCGCCCCATCTCAAAAAAGATAGATTGGAATTGGAAAAGGTACAGAAAAGGGCAACAAAAATGATTAGGCATATGGAATAGCTTCCATATGAGGAGAGATTATAAGACTGGGACTTTTCAGCTTGGAAAAAGAGACAACCGAGGAGGGATATGATGGGGTGATAAAATCAAGACTGGTGTGGAGAAAGTAAATAAGAGTTATTTACTCCTTCTCATAACACAAGAACTAGGGGTCAGCAAACAAAATTAATAAGCAGCAATAAAACAAAAGGAAGTATTTCTTTACACAACAACCAGTCAACCTGTGGAACTCTTTGCCAGAGGATGTTGTGAAGGCCAAGACAATAACAGGGTTCAAAAAAGAACTAGATAAGTTCATGGATGATAGGTCCATCAATGGCTATTAACCAGGATGAGCAGGGATGCAAAACCATGCTCTGAAGTGTCCCTAGCCTCTGTTTGCCAGATGTTAGGCATGGGCAATAGAAGATGGATCACTTTATGATTACCTGTTCTGTTCATTTCCTCTGAAGCACCTGGCATTGACCACTGCATGTCCACCAATGTTATATATGCCATCATGTGCCAGCAATGCCCCTCTGCTATGTACATTGGCCAAACTGGACAGTCACTACGCAAGAGGATAAATGGACACAAGTCAGATATCAGGAATGGCAATATACAAAAACCTGTAGGAGAACACTTCAACCTCCGTGGCCACACAATAGCAGATGTAAAGGTAGCCATCTTACAGCAAAAAAACTTCAGGACCAGACTCCAAAGAGAAACTGCTGAGCTCCAGTTCATTTGCAAATTTGACACCATCAGATCAGGATTAAACAAAGACTGTGAATGGCTATCCAACTACAGAAGCAGTTTCTCCTCCCTTAGTATTCACACCTCAACTGCTAGCAGAGCACCTCACCCTCCCTGATTGAACTAACCTCGTTATCTCCATACTGATTTATACCTGCCTCTGGAAATTTCCATTACTTGCATCTGATGAAGTGGGCATTCATCCATGAAAGCTTATGCTCCAATACTTCTGTTAGTCTTAAAGGTGCCACAGGACCCTCTGTTGCTTTTTGTCAGAAGACAGGATACTGGGCTAAATGGACCATTGGTCTGACCCAGTATGGGCATTCTTATGTTATGTCCACACTGACATTTGAGTCAGTATAAGTTATGTCGCTCAGGGGGGTGGCTAATTCACATCCCTGGGTAACACAACTTATGTCCACGTAAGCCATAGCGTAACCATATCCTTAGTGTTTTTATCATTGTGTGTGTTACATATTTACAGGGCAGATACGAAGACAAAGTTCTTGGCCTCAAAAAACTTCCACTCTAGATAACGATGCTGAGATTTTCAAAGCAACCTAGGCAATTTGGATCACTATCAATTTTAATGAAAATTGGGCATCCAAATCCCTGTGTAGCTTGAAAATCTCAGCTTCAGTGCACAAATACAAGAGAGAACTAGAGCAGTGCGATGAAATGGTGATGTTTATGAAGTATGTATCTTGTTAGCTCTGTGATTTTTGCTTGGAATTTTTTATTTTTAGTACAGAATTTCTATTGTCTTAGTTTAACAATTCTCTGAGGGGAGGAATGGGGTTGAAAGGCATGTGTTATATGCTGCAGTGAAATTATTTGATTATCCATTACTTTTACTGGTGCTCATATGTCATCCCATAAATATGAGGTTGTATAATTATATCTAAATATATACTACATACTAAGTTCTAAAAGAAAATTAGACATAACCCTGTGCCCACTTAAAAACGGTCTTCAGACTCATTTGTATTTAAGTTTGGAATTATTATACCAAGGTAATCTTTTCAAAAGCACCTAAGTGACAGGCTCTTAAGTCCAAAAGGGGACCTGGGAGCCTAAGTCACTTAGGTGCTTTTGATAATGTTGCCTCCAGTGTATAATGCTTGTACATGAGACCAGAATTAGGCCCAAAGACTTGCATAGTGTACAAATAAATACAAAGCAAAAGGATTTTTATTGGGCAAATACCTTATTACAAAAGGCTAATCAAAGGATTTCATTAGACAGACACTTAGATGAGACTCACCACACTATACCAAACTTTTGGCTGTATTTAAAAACCCATTACTGTCTCTTTGTAAAATCTTTTATTCACTGTTGGTTCAGCTTCTTATTTAATCAAAAACTGGACACCTTTACTAATTTCCTCACAACCATAAGGAGGGTCTTGAGTTCGCTCATTGCTGGAACATGTAGTTTTCCAGAGGACATATCCTATGCTGAGTGACTGAATCTACAGGAAATCAAAAAGAAATATGTTATATACTAGCATATTGGGATGAATACATAGCAAATAGCTTCTTATTAAAAAGGTGCTCTTATATGCTTTGTATAACACAATATACACTACTAACAAAATAATCAACTCAGCAGACTGAATTTTTGGTATAAAGTACCTTTGAGGAGCTGAGAACATAGGGAGTGAGAAGGACCATAAAGATCTATACTAGTGGTATAATATGTACACTGCACACACCTCCAATCTCCTTTTTTTAAAAAAATGTATTTCACTCTCTATCTCTCAGGTATCAAATGTGTGATTGATTGTAGGACTAATTTATGCAGTAGCGAACAGCTGGCATTAGGTGTGGAAAGCAGAACGTTTATAACCAGAAACTAACTAGATTACATAAACTAGGGATACATTCTGATAACAATAAGAGCCTCAAAATTGGATAAATCCCTGAGTAATATATGTCTAGCCATTTGACTGGATTTGTATTTGTACAAATCTGATATCCCACATACTTTCAATATTAGATTATAATATATAATTTTATGGGGTGGGGGAGGGATAGCTCAGTGGTTTGAGCATTGGTCTGCTAAACCCAGGGTTGAGAGTTCAGTCCTTGAGGGGGCCACTTAGGGAGCTGGGGCAAAATCAGTACTTGGTCCTGCTAGTGAAGGCAGGGGGCTGACTCAATGACCTTTCAGGGTCCCTTCCAGCTCTATGAGATAGGTATATCTCCATATTATATAGATTGGAAGGGACACATTTTCAAACAGGTCTGTACTCAGCCTCCACTTTTTCTTGGGTCTGTACGTACACTCACAACTTATAGGTACACATACCTGTGTGCGCACTTTAAATATTCTAGGTGTAGATGAACAAACCTAAGTGTATACCTAAAAAACTTGCATCTATTGGAATTGATTTAGGATTGGATTAATTGATATGAGATTTTGGGTCAGCCCATTATAAAGATATGGCCGTTTTGCAAAATTGAGAGCCTAATTTGGATGTTGACAGCCCCTCCTGCAAACTTCAGTAATGTTTGGATTCAGAGATCTGGTTCAGGCCCAACTCTAAAGCACTACAAAGAGGTGAACTACTTCATTACAACTAGACATGGCAGAATTAAAAAAAATTTTTTTTTATAAATTTGACAGACTATATCAATGTTCATTTTAAGCATTTTTTTTATCATTGATTTGAATTTTTACAATTCCCATAGTTTTGGGTTTTAAACTTTATTCTATTTTTTTAATTTAATTTTTTTATAGTTGTGGGAGATTATGGGGGATCAGACAATCATCTAATGACAGTAGATGTTGAGGTTAAAAGTTTTATAGATGTTAAAACACTATTTTCAAAATATATAAAGGAAATATCTTTAAATTAAACTCTAAGTTCTCAAGCAGCAGTTTTTTACTTTGCCTAGCAGTATTTTTTCTTTGGTTTGTGTGTGTACAGTGAAATCTATGTTTACCAACATTTACTGACAAAAATCTAATCCTTCGTGCCTAATTATAACAGATTAATTCAATATCCCTAGCAAGATGAAGGGGAATGTTTTAAGTGGCAGCTAATTCCAGCTGAGACTGGTTTTCAAAGAGCTCCACCCACACAACTCTCACAGCAGGATACAAAGGGACAATATGTAACTAATGAAAGGCAAGCAAGGCATTATATAGAACACTCTCACAGCTTAACATACAGAGCAGGACACTTAGGGCATGTCTATACAGGGATAAAAAACCCACAGCTGGCTCAGGTCAGTTGATTTGGGTTCACTGGGCTCAGGCTCCAGGGCTGAAAAATCGCAGTGTGGACATTCGGGCTTGTGCTGGAGCCCAATCTCTGGGACCCTGCGAGGGTGGAGGGTCTAAGAGCTCAGGCTCCAGCCTGAGTCCGAACGTCCACACAGCGATTTTTAGTCCCACAGCCCATGCCCCACGAGCCCAAATTAGCTGACCTGGACCAGCCGTGGCTGTGCCATGGATATTTTATCTCCGTGTAGTCGTACCCTTTCCTACTGAGGGCCGTAAATGAACTGTTTCATACACAGTAATTACCAAGCATTCTTTTAACAGCTTGATTTTCTTTCTGCATTGGGAAGGAGATCAATTAAATGAACTAAAAATATTTTCTAGCTCATTTATTTTTTACACGCTGACAGCGTGGGTTGGTGCTGTATAAGTCCACGCCTCATGGAATTTACAATGTAAACAGACAACTGGCCTGAGAGAGTTTCTGCTTTGAGCTTGGTTTCACTGTCCCCCTAGGTTCTATGGAAGAATTGGGATCCTCAATTTTGGATCTTAAGAATCTGGCAGGAGAGGCTATACAGTGCACCATGGAATTCATATAATTCAGAATTATATGTATATGAAATATTTTTAGAGATGAGCTAAAGCTGCAAAAGCACTGATGTGCCAAAGCACCCTTCTTACAGGCATAGATTCACCCAGTGAGAGGTGCTAGTGCACTGCACTCTTTCTAGATGCTGATGTTTTAAGGCTGAGGGCCTGGCTCACCATCCTTCCATGGTGCCAATGGATTATGTACCTAATGGTTCAAGTACTTGTACATATTTTTACTTTAATGATCATTTCTGGCAGTCAGGTAGAGGACACATCTCACCGCCAGAGCCCCTGGTCTCTATATATTTTAAGGCTCTTGTGCCAATATTGATCTTTTATTAAAAATTGTCTGGAAGGTGAAACAATTAAAAAAATAACAGAAGTCAGATGTTTAAAATGGAAGAATGCAATTATAAGGAAATCATGATGAGGCTTTATTGTTTGAGCAAGGACTATTGTATTAATTTCATCATCAGAATTTAATATAGTAGCAGGCTGTACTACTTGAAAAAGGCACAGGAGAAAAAGTGGATCCCTGGACTAAAATTATGGACCAACGCGAAAACAACACAAACATTACTCTCCACACCCATTGGTTATGCATACATTGTTAAATGGATGTTAGAGTGTCAGTCTGGATTATTATTTCTGTCCATCTGAAAGTTATGCTTGAAATACTAATATGTCCAAGTGTATTGTTTACTTTACTACATCACAGTTCCAGTCTTCTCCTCATGCCCTATTTCTGGTTCTCTGGAGTTCTTACATACCATACAATGCTGTCTCGTCTTATCTTTCCTTTTTTTGACACAGCTGTTCTTTAATTCTGTTATGACTTTAGAGAGTGTCTTTCACATTGCAGATCAATCTAAATAGGAACTCACTTGTCTTTCAACTCTTTAATAATTTTATCTTTTATAAAGTATGAAATATACTTTTGTTTTGACAAGTGTTTTCTCCCTTACAACCCAGGTTTTCTTTCTGCTTCAACCTTCAGCAGTGTTCTTACTCAGACTTTGCAACATTATGATCAGACTGATTTATTTAACAAATAGTATCTGAAAGCTTTAGTATTTGCTGTAAAGCAGAAAGTAAAGCTAGCTTATTAAGAAGACTGTTATTCAAAACATAAATATCTTATTTTCTTGTGTTGTATTATGCAAAAAGATTCTTTTTAGGAGGAGAAGACATGGAGCTAATCGAAAAGATAAATACTCTCAGGACTGTGAATCCCAAGTAGATCACCAAAAGTTTTCTTCTGTGGGGATATTGCAAATGTACACTCAATTTACAGCAAGAACATCAAGCTTAAAACTAATTTCTATGGTGTCTTAGGAAAAACCACAGGACAAGCAACTCCCAGGAACTCAACACCCACAGATTTTAGCAAGAATTTTTCTTCAAGCAGAGTGATAGTCGTAGCAAAGAACATTTCAGACATGCATATTACATTACATATTATATACTATAAGGCAGATCCTCAGCTGGTGCAAAATGTCAGAGCCTATTGAAGTCAACAGAGCTATGACAATCTGCACTAGCTGAGCATAGTCCCCACATATTTTTATAATCTTGAAAGACAAATTTTTCACCAGACATTTCAAGAGAGTGGTTCCTAAGTGTTTTCTCATAACCTACTTTAATTAGACAAGTATCACATTTAAATGAAACAACTCCCATGAAATATGGAGGGCACAATTTGAAGTAATTTGTACAGCACTATGCTAGGTCCAATTCATAAAGGTGGGTCCTAAGATCAACACAGCCCAGCCCTAATTTTACCAGAAAGTCCCTGACAGGATGTAGTCAGGTCTTCCTAAAGGGTAACAACTGTAGCACAGTCTGTCCATTCTCTTCTCTCCACACTCTCCCTCTGGTAATCTTCCGCCCATACTTAGGGCTTGTTTATATGGAGCAGCAATGCTCAATACGAGGATGCAATTTCTAAAATTCACTTGTGCATTAATTGGTCTGTGTAAACCCTGCTGGTACATACTAAAAATTCCCTAGTGCTCTTGAATGTAGTGCACAGCACTACGTTAAGGTCCAATAGGAACTTTAGTGAGCAGCAGCAGGGTTTACACAGACCAAGTGCATTATACTAAAGCGCAGTAGGGAACTTTTAGTACACAGCAGCAAGTCTACAAGGACCAATTAATGTATAACACATTAGTGTGCTTTTGAAATCACATCCCCCATATGGCATATTACCACACTGGGTAGAAAAACCCTTAGCACATTTGAAAGCACATTTCATAATATTATATTGAGCTGAAATTAAATCTCTTACCTAGTATCCATTTTTCTGATAAATATTTTATTTCAGGTTGCTTCTTTCCCAAATATTCTCCAATGTAGATTTTGGCCTGTCGCAGGGTTTTACATATTTTTCCTCCACACAACTGTACAAGTTCACTTAGCTTGTCACATGGCGGTTGACTGGCAAGAGATATAAACATTACAGGCTGACTTGAAAAGAGGTCCTGCTGATATCTTCCTGATGACAGGTGGCGTTGAAGTCTGCAGATCTGTTTTTAAGGAAACAAGGAAATTAAGAACTAACATGTTTCAATTTCATTTATAAGCAGCAAGTGAAGCTAGTCTTTGCATTTAGGAAAAGAATTTCAGGATATGAAAACAACTCTTTACATTCCCAAGTAAACTCTTGGGTAAGTCGTACCATGATTAGCTAACGATCACTAGATATTTATTTTTTTATTTATGACTTTTTTTGGCTTGATACAAAAGCCAAAATATCCATGTGCCACTTATTTGATTTCCATAATCTAGCCAGGTATTTATTCAATGCTCACTCTAACATGGTATTTGAATACCTTACAAGTGTATAAATCTGGCAGGTAGTTTACAGATAAGCTCTACCTTTGGTTCTCTCCCTCCCTTTCTTGAATGCGGTGAGAATGGTGGAGACTTTTAGGCTTTTAGGAAGTAATTCCACAAGTGTGGGCAAGATGCTGAAAAACCTCTATCTCCTGCTTCTGGTTATAGACAGATCATTGTTCCAAGGGAGCAGAGTAAATGGTCACGAAGTATTTTGAGACAGCCCAGGTCCAAGCCACTGGAAGGCTTTGACCATTAAGACCAACACATGAAAAACTTAATCCTGTATTTTACTTTGAGCCAGTTGTAAGAGGCATTAAGGGAAACTTTTAAAAATAGGCCTTGTCTGCACTAGGGGCTTTAGCACTGATGTAACCATGCATGTGTGTAAATGCCTAACCTTGGCTCCATTGAAATCAATGGCAAAACTCCCACTGACTTAAAAAGGGACAGGATTTCACCCCTGGTATCGAGATGCACTATGCTGCTGTAAACCACAGCTTGTGCTGGTGCAGCTTACACTCAGGTTTACCAGTGGAAACGATATATGTGTAGTTACACTACTGCTAAAAACGCCAGTGTAAACTGGGCCTTGGGACAGTAAGATATGGTACGTTAATGAATCTTGATGCTGAGCATCCTTAGTCACAATCACACACATCCAATTTGGGTTAAGAAAAGGTAGCTGACTAGGTGTAAGGGCCATATTCAAAATATCAGAGATTTGTATTGTTGGAAGAAGCTGGAATCAGCTGCACAGCTGAAAGAGCCCAACATAGTTCAAGGAAAAGAAATGTAGTCCTGAACCCGGGGAAAAAACAAAAACAATATTTTCTCTGCAGGGCCACTGTCTATATTTGCTTAGAAGGTTTGGTAGTTATAATGAAGTGAAAAAAACCTAGGCAACCAGAACATGGAATCAGGGAAAATATGCCATGGTAAGGGTAAAGACCCCTTTCTGCCCCCTTCCCCCCCCCCCCATGTGTGGAGGATTAAGCAGAAGAAATGCTGGAATTACGGTAAAGAATACCAGAGAAGTCTGTTCAGTCTAGGATCAGACTGGGCCAAGAATACAGAGAATGAATGGACAGAAGATTACTTAAAACAACCAAATCCAGATTTAAGATTAATGATATATGTGTATATATAATGGGACTATTACACACTGTACCTCTTGCATGCAAACTCTTTCCATCTTTAGAAGACTTTTTCCATGCATAACATAGACAGAGAAAAGGGAAGTCCTTTACAAATACTGTGCAGTCCTTAACACTATTAATGTGGTTGTGTACTTAAAATTAAACAAGAAAAAAGCTGATTGATATACATGAGGAGTGTCTAGCAATTTCTTCTCCTGGTAGGTTTGGTATACTCTAGAACCTTTTTCCTTCTGAGGCCCCCCTAACATGCTATAAAAACTCCATGGCCCACCTGTACCACAACAACAGGTTTTCTGCATATAAAAGCCAGGGCCGGCATTAGGGGGTAGAAAACAGGGCAATTGCCTGGGGCCGCATGCCACAGGGGGCCCTGCAAAGCTAAGTTGCTCAGGCTTTGGCTTCAGTCCCAGGTGGCAGGGCTCAGGTTCCCAGGCTTCAGCCCCACGTGGTGGGGCTTCAGCTTTCTGCCAGGTGCCTCAGCAAGTCTAACGCTGGCCATGCATGGAGGACCCCCTGTAACCTGGTGGCGGCCCCCTGGTTGAGAAACACTGCTCTAGAAAGGGCAGATAGAGTACTGTGGAATGAAAAACCATTTCCTTTAGCTCAAATATAAAGTTCAGAACTATTCTGGTCAGGTTGCTACTGCAAGTACTAAAGACTAACCATTACCCCAAACTATCTAGAGCTGAAATAATCAAACCATTATAATAAAAGGGGTTTTTATAAGCCAATTAGTTGCAGTACATAATGACTTGAACATTAGGACAGGTGTTCAAAATGATGTTCATAAAGATGACAGATGTATGTTGCACCAGTTAAAGTCTTTTCAGTGTCTGTGATTTCACTTCCCGGTACAGTACAATACAGCAATCAAATCTGGAGGTCACAAATACATGGAACATCACATCTAAGTCTTTGTCTGCCAGGATTAGGTAAAGTCTCATGGCCAGCCACAGGAAGAAGGCAGCATTTTTTTAAAAAACCACCACAACAGTTGCTATTTAGGTTTCCAGTGTAAGTATAGGTTCTAGGACGACACTGTGCTACATACCACTTGATCAGTGAGAGGGCAGATGTCCTTGTTGACTAGTTCATTGAAATATTTTCCTCATGCCAGCAGCACCACCTCAGTCTAGTTCAGGTTTAACAACATATACAATAAATGCCCAAACTGATAACTGGACATGCCAAACCTATCTGATATTTTTTGTCCCTATTTTCCTTGTTGAAGCTTGATGAACTGGCTCTTAGGTAATAAACAACATGAGCTACAATTGCCAGTACAAGAGGAGATGAAGACAAAAATAAAAGTTTGGGCACAAGAGTAGCTGAGATGTTGTTTGATGCTGGAAATTTTTCACCAATGTGAAAAATAGGGAAATGATCTGAACAGTGGACTCCTGACTTTGACACTGACTCACTGTGTCACTTTGGGCACTTAAGATCGTTGTGCTTTAGTTTACAAATCTATGGAGTCAAGATAAAAATGCTCACCCAATTTACAATGGGTTGTGAAGATTAATTAATGTTTGTAAAGAGCTTTCAGATCCCCAGATAAAATTACAAAGCAGGTTTTTTATCTTTATAAAAGGGAATTTCTTAGTATTGGTGATCAGTGCCAGAGGAACAGTGAAAAACAAAGCCCATGCTGAGATAGCACAGGCAGTAGTGGCACAATCTCCATCTATGTCATTCTTCAGAGAAGTCGGTCCTATTGAGAAGTGGTATCTCCAGAAATGAGGGTACATGAGGTTTTATGCTCATGAAATCCTTGGCTGCTCTGCTGAAACTACAAACAGTTAATTTTCTGTAAGCTGGCTTGCAGGACATTTTAGAGAAGCCAGAAGCTGATATAGTTAAGGCAGGCCAAAAGGGCTAAAATGCGGTCAAAAATGTGTTGTAGCTATTTATTCTTATGTGAATGTACAGTGTTCAAACAACATATGCATAACTAAGGTCAAAGAGAGCTTTCCCAACTGACTTCAATGAGTACATGCTCAAGGCCGTAATACACTTTGCAATTTCTGATGTGCAAATAAAAGGCAGGATTCTGATATTCCTGTGATTGCACTCACTCACTTTCATGAATTACCAGTTATTTCAAAATATGTAAATCACCAAGCAAACATAAAAATGCTTCAGTTAAAAAGTATACAGGTAAGAAGTTCAACAAATTATACACTATACTCTAATGAAAACAACCCAGAAACAGAGACTCATGATAAACACAATCCTATCTTTGGTGGCTCAAATAGCCTTTTTCTTCCATCAGAGAGAATTGAGAACATCTACTAATCTCCTGAGTTGTTTATTTAGACAAATCAGCTACATCTGAAAGGAGAAAAAATAATCACCAAGAGACATTAATTTAGTGTTAGTTTATCTAAAATTAACAATCAGACTTGATTCCAAGGGACCTTTGTGCTCAACTTGCCATGCTGCTTTTGTTAGCCTGGAGCTCTAGGGTTTCCAAGATGAAACTGATTAGGATTGACAAGCTCTGTTTATGTTAAAAACCCAACAGGACATGAGTTTCTTAGATGGAAGACATACAATGTAACTTGATTGTAATCCTGCTGTTTCACACATTTTACAGGACATGATTTTAAAAGGTCTGCTGTATTCCCACTTCTTCAAACATTTTCCCGGAATGCATTTATTGTTGAGGTGACTCATAATGAAAAGTTGTTTTATTTGTACAGTGGGTCCTACTACTGGAAATACACTTGGATTAAATTAATATTAAAGGCAAAAAATTGCATGAATGTTATGTTAAAAATTTGCACAACTAATCACAAAGAGTCTGGAATGCAAACGTTATGATTCCAACAGCAACATTAGGTCAAGCTGTGTTGTACAATTCATGTGGTTTGGAATATATGTTTATGTTATAAATGCTAAGGTTGGGATTTTTAAAGGAGTTAAAATGCTGAAATCCCTTTGAGATAGCACCTACCCACTTTAGCCTCTTTTGAAAATCCCAGAATAATGTATTAATATATATATTGACTGGAATAATAGGAACAGCATATTGTAGATTGTGCAATATGACCAAAATAAAGTTTCTGTTTAGACCTTAAATGTTGCTTTTCCTGCCGCTTGTAATTTTAAATGCAGCTTTCCAGCCAGATTATGCTTCGGATCCTGCTCAGGTGTACAACAAGGAGAGAAACTCCTTGCTCTCTTCATCCAGAGGCTAGAAATAATTGAAACCCCTGTATTCAGACAGCACAAGGACTCTGCAGGGCTAGCATTGCTTTCAAAGCCAGCCTATGCATAGAGGAGTGGAGGTAGCCAGTCTTGGAAGAGAAAACATATTACACACTCTGGAAGCCATTTGGCCACCCCCAACTTGGACTAGAGATTGAATGGCACAATCCACCTCTTCAAATTGAATTACCCTTTGTAACATCAAAGAGTTTGCAGCACTCCAGGGCTGCTGCACACCCTTTGATTTTTTTTAAATTTGAGCAAAATCTCTATAATTTCAATCCTAATCAGAGACCAAACATGGGAAAAATTCAGCCCAA